AAAACATCTTTCCCTTTTACAATGAGTCTATGGTTAGTCAAGTAATAAAAATTATTTAAAATTATATAAAATTGTGTTGTGCCAAATAAGAGCAATCGTATTACTTACCTTCTATCGAGCGCAAAGAGAACATTGGCTAATCCAGATTTTTGTCCCTAAATCTGTGATTAGGCTGGGAGGATACTAGTTCTCACTCCATAGCTCTCACTTCCCCTCGCCTGAGGGCTAACATCTCGCTTTAGTTTCCAAACAACTTGACAAAATTGGGATTTTAGTATGTCACCCTAAAATCTCCAATTCTACACCCATCAAAGTATATTTCCCTATTTATTTGCAGTCAACCCCATGGATTACATTCTCATCCATGAAATTGAATGTGAATCTCACTTTGTTGTAGAAAGCATAGCCCCTTCGGATCTTATGTTTTTCAATAAATTTTAAGATTTCAATTGGTCATACCAAAAAGTAAAAGAAGATTAGACTTTCAATCATCACAAATTATTGACATTTAAAACTATGCACAACAATATTAATTCTTCACAAAATCATATCTCATTAAATAGAGAAGGACAATGAAAACAACTCAGAATTCATGATAAAAATACAACAAAATATAGATTTTAAATATAAAAAAAGTTTACAAAATAAGAAAAAAATATGCAACTTATCTCAGACTGCTCCTCAAGAAAATACCTTGAAGTTCCCTTAAAGCACTTTCTCTCTTTACAATCAACATTGAATTCTCTCTTAAAAGTGTAATGAAAAGGAAACCTCTCACATTCCCTCTCCTCTTACAACTCTAGAAGAAAATCCTCTCCACACACAAGACCTAACCCTAGACTCTCCACTCACTCTACTCGACCAAGACATGACTCTACAATGATTTAACAAGACTCCACTATACTAGACTCCTCAAAGACTCCACAAGACTCTTTTTACAAGTGGTGTCAGCCCCTCTTCTAAAGAAATTCAAAAATCCATCATTTTTCCCAAGAGACACCTCTTCATACCAAGAGGCAAATCCCTTCATTCAAGAGTCTTCCCCAAGTTTCTAGATTCATTAAACAACTCCATGGGGCATTTGAAATACTTAGAGCCTTCTAGAACATCTCAAAAATAATAATAATAAATGCCAAAATTCATCCATAACCATCTATGACGCCTCTAATGATTGTTTACTGGAGTTCGGTGCTCCTCTCTGAATTATGGCGCCTTTAGCGCCAATTTTGGTGCCTCTGGCGCCGATTCTTTGTAATTAGGCACCTCTGAAGCCAGTGTATTTTGAGAAATCAGCCTTTTCGACCCCGAATTTCTTCCTTGAGTAGCTTAGTGCTCTTGCTTTACCTCTTGAGTAGCTTAGTGCTATTATATGATTGCTCCTATTTGGCGACAATAGTTTAGTGTAAGATTATTATAATGACGACAATAGTTTTTTTTTAAGAAAAAAAAATTTATCGGTCTTTTCATCCTCATTGAAAATTGGTTGTTCTCCTGGGCAAGCCAATTTCCTTCTGAATTAGAACTATCTAACAATAAATTTGAATTCAAAAAAAGATTGGCAATGATATTTCTGTAGTATTAAAGTTGTTTCGATGTCTTATATCCTTTTTATTTGTTGCTTGGTGTACTCAATTATGATCTACTCAACTTGGTATACTACTAATGGGTTTGTTGGTTAGCTGTATAATACCAATACTTTTACAATTAAAGTATCAATTCAAATATATTGGAAATATGAATAAAGTACATACATGGAAGCAACTTGGGTTTAAAAAAATAGAACACATGTCAATTTTTATTGGGGGCATTTACATACATACCACCTAAGTTCTATGTATTTGCACATCTAACTCCTAAACTTTAGTTTTTATACATATGCCAATCCAACCTTTCATATCACATAAAAAATACCATGCTTCAATCTACTAAACTAATTGGTATGTAGGTAAATCTTTTTTTTTTTCTATTAATAACTACTGAACCTGTATTAATAAGTGACATGCTTCAGATTGATGAATTAATAAATTTCTATTGAACTTAGAAACATGCCTCATTTTTTATTATTCATTTTAATGCTATCAAATATCTTGGTTGTTATTATGTTAGTTTTAAGAATTAAAGGAGCAATTATTGTACTTTGCAAAAAAATGAACTCAAGTCAATCATTAGCAACTAAGAGTGTATTCTGAAATATTCAAGTATTTTGCAGATGTAATTTACCAAGCATTATATACAATGCTCATATAGAGGTGAAAACAACGACAGGAGATCATATAGGTGTCTGAGAAACCAAACAAATGATTATCATTACTTCAAATGGGCACCAAATATCTCTAACACCAGGCTATGAACTAATAGCAGCCTCAAATATGAGAGGGCAAATCATAAGCGTAGAACCTGAAACTAGCTGAAAAATGAACCTGAAAACTAAGACCTGTTAATAACAGCATAACATTTGCGGATCTCATGAAACCAAGGAGAAGAGCATCTAAAATCACTCGAGCAGTTAATCCAAAACTTCAATACAAGAGTTATAATCTTAAAAACACTACAATCTCAAGAAAATACTTCATACGCTACCAAACTATCATTCAATTGGATGGACACTACATACCAAGGAGAAGCTAGGCAATTGTGGAAAGAAAATAACTTAGGCATTAAAAAGATATTTTGAAGATTCACATGCTTCATAACCTTATCACCATGTTTGACTAATGCATCAATGGGGGATTTATAATTGCTCTAGCCAAGAGCAGTTTTCTACAAACATAACCAATTATGAAAACCATGAACATGATAAAAAATAAGTAATAAAAACTCCAAAATGCTAATAAGTATCTTAAGGGATACTAGTAATGATTTATAATCTATTCCCCTATTATGCAAAAAATTTTGAAAACATGCAAGCCACATAGGTATAAATTTTATATATGGTTGAACAACTTCTTTAAATAAGGTAAACCTTCGTGGCTTAAATATTATACGAGATGATGTGCACACTTTCACATTCAACCAAGATTGAAATTCTATTTTCTTTTATACCTTTTGTTACAACAAATTCATTGAATGATTGATACACTTTTACTTTCCAATTCTCCTACTGATGAATTTGCATGTCAAGAAACTAAAGAGAAAAGTAGCAAGACTTCTCAATTGAAAACCAAAAAAGCATAAAATAATACTTTTCAATTGAAAACCAAAAAAAATCAAGGCATCACTCTAATTACCACCAAATATGAAGTAATAACTAAGAATTCTCAATCAAAAACCAGAAAGCAACCTAATAGTTAAAGGTCCTATAAAAAGATAAGATGAATTAGTAAGCTTATCCTGCTCTTGATTGAGTTTTTCAGCAGCCCCACCAACTTCTCATCCTCAACTTTAATGAGTTTTTTTTAACAGCCCAACAAGGTTATTCTGATCTTTAAGAAGATAACATGCATTAATATGATTATCCAGAACTTTAATTTAGTTCATATAATTGACAACTACATTTTAATATGCATCACTTGAATTTTTTGTGATACAAATTGATCTCTACTTCTCCATTAAAATTGTTTTATAAACAGACTCATTAATGCCTTTTTATTAACCTTATGGTTAACGAGCTGAACGAACTATAGCTCCTTACACTTAATGAGTAAAACGAACAATGCCTCATTAGTCATATCGAGTAAAAAGAATCTTACAACCAACACTTGACACCTCAAAATCCAAACCCTTCTCCCAAATCGTAAAACTCTTTTATTGAACCCTCCAATCCCTCTCTAATATGTAATAATAATAATAATAATAATAATAATAATAATAATAATAATAATAATAATAATAATAATAATAATAATAATAATAATAATAATAATAATAATAATAATAATAATAATAATAATAATAATAATAATAATAATAATAATAATGTATGTGAGATTTATACTTGGGAGATGGACAAGAAGCAAACACCCTCAAAGATGCCTCCCTGGCGCTTCTTACATAGTACTTGAATACATCGGCTTCCTGTGTGATACTTACAAAATAAGTGGAAATCATTCCAAGCTCAAGGAAAATAAAGACGAGATGACATAATAACATGAAACAAAGAAGACAGAAAATGGAGAGAGAAACAACCCTAAGTGGCATGCAATGGAGGCGAAGGAGAGAAACACCCATAAGCGACAAGCAATGAAGGCAAAGGAGCCATTTGTAGGCGAGCGACATAAATGAGGTTCTGCTTACAGAGCAGTCGTTTAAAAAGGAGGAAGGGTTTAAGGCAGCCCGAATGTAAATTTTAAAATTTTGGTGGTTAAGATATTATATTAAAAGCTTTTAGGTGGGGCGCATGTAAAAACCCATTCATTCTTTTAACACTGATCAATTTGTTTTTACCCTAAGTGGGGTTGTAAGCGTTATCTTTTCCTTAAATATCCAGCGGAAACAAAATTTTTTGAAGGAAAATGTAAAAATTATATATATATATATTTTTCATGGTATTGATTTGAAGAGGAAGCAAATTAATATTTTAAAAAAACAGCCAAAAAACAAAATACCTGCTATTAGAAGTAATGTGAGCTCCACAGACACGATAATAATTTATTAACGAGTTTTCCTGACATAGGCCCCACGTTTCTCAGGAGCAAGGTGGCTAAGTTCATTACCTTCATGAATTACGAAGAATAATTAACCAATGAGATGGTAAAGAGACTCGAGCTCCAGAAAATTTCAAGAAATCATCATGTACTGAAGCATAATAATTGGATTGATAGCTATAATTAAGTAATAAATTTTCTTATAAATAATTGTATTTTAATCATATAGGATCATCTACCTTGGACTAAGTATAGCTAGCTGAAAATATACTTGATTCAATTGGGAAGGAAAGAATAGGAGTTTCATTGGGCATAATATAATTTGTTGAATTACCTTGTATTTATAACTTGAGCTGAAGTTGAAATTGGCTAGCTGAAGATGGACTAATTTTCATCCCTACTGTGAAGCTGTTGCACTCAAATTCACAATTACAAATACTTTTCATAAAAAGGACAGTTCAATCATTAAAAAAAAGGTAAAGCAGATGTTTAGATTAAAAGAAAAACTTCATGGAAAAAAACTGACAGCGCTATTAATTTGAGATTTGCAATGATAACCGCATCATTTGCCATGTCCTTCCAAAACAAGGCATTTAGGCCTCAGTTACAGAATTTTCCCTCGCATAACTGGAGAGAGCCGGAGATTATTATTCACCCACCAAGTCACTGGTTGGTTCAGCCACTTCTAAATGTGAATCCCCAATGATTTTTTCAATTTCTCCACCTCAAGATAAACAGTAGAATATGGAAGGAACTCCGAGAAGTGGCTTTGCACAAGATTGTTGATAGCCATAGCTAGCAATGGAATCTCTTTGATATCATCATAGGTGAGCTGACGAACAAATCTCGCCGGATTACCAGCCCAAAGTTCGCCAGTGGGGATTCTACGCCCGGGTGGAAGCACAGAACCAGCCTCGAGAATGGAATTGGTCTCTACTAATGAACCTTCCATGAGAATGGAATGTTGTCCAATTATGCATTCTGGCTCAATGGTGCATGAACGCAATAGACTGTTAGCACCAATTGTTACGTAACGCTCAATCAATGTCTCTGCGGGCAGACCTGATAAAGTTGGAAGGTTTAATATGAGCTTGAGTAGGAATTGTTGATAAAACATAAACATAAATGAAAGCGGAATCGGAATGAGAAAAGCAAACAAATGTGAGGCATGTTAAGTTTGGACATTGGACGCTCAATCAAAGTCTCTGAGAACAGAACTTTAACTATTAGGTTGCTTTCTGGTTTTCGATTAAAAAGACTTAATTATTACTTTACACTTGGTGGTAATTAGCGTGATGCCTTGATTTTCTGGTTTTCAATTGAGAAGTATTACTTTTTCGGTTTTCGATTGACATGCAAATTCACCAGTAGCAGACTTGGAAAGTAAAAGTGCATCAATCATTCAATGAATTTGTTGATGACAAAAAGTATAAAAGAAACTAGAATTTAAACCTTGGTTGAATGTGAAAGTGTGTAAATCATCACATATAATATTTAAGCCATGCAGGTTTACCTTTTTTAAAGTTGTCCAACCATATATACAATTTATACCTATGTGGCTTGCATGTTTTCAAAGTTTTTTGCATATAACCATATGGGACTAGATTATAAATCATTACTAGTATCCCTTCAGATACTTATTAGCATTTTAGAATTTTTATTAATTATTTTATTAAAGCAGAATTGTATTTGTTTTATTAAATGATGATGATTTTCATTGTAATATTCATGCTTTGTGAGTAGATTTCCTTTACTTTTATCTTGTGATGAAAATGTAGGATTTGTAGGATGTGTTGAATGCTTTTAGAATTAGATTTTAATACTAATGAGATGATTTTTCCTTCTATGCTTCATTTACTTTTTTGTACTGGTCATATGAATTGTTAAAATTTGTTGTAACATAAACTGGGAAGAGCTACAGCATGAACAACTAGGGGGATCACATTGAACTAGTGAGTGAAGGAAAAGAAGTTTATAAGGCAAAGCAAATAGATAGGGAGATCGGTTTTTATGGTATAACATGGGGATTTCTAGGGTGACAGGCAGAAACACTTACCAAGTTAAACAAAACTTCTTTACACACTCGGAAGAGGGAAAACAAGATATATGCTCCTATTTGTCACTAGTCATATTAGCAATTCTTGATATTCAATCCAATAATCCACTTACGCAATCACAAGAGAAAGGTAGTTTTTATATCTTGATATTCACCAAACTAATTGATATAGTTAGGTTTAGCTTTAAACATAGAGCTGTAATTTAGAAGTAATTGTTAGAAAAACCATTGTAATTTACATTCCAAACTAAGACCTTAGCGTAGTAGACTAGAACTTCGCCTAAGGGACTCGTTACCTCCTTCCTTGTGGGATCGACAATCCGGACTCAAAGAGTCTTATATTACTGAAACAATATGTATACTTGCATGAGAAACCCCAGTGAGTAATAATATCTAATTTTAAGAGCTCAGTTAATTTGCTGGGAAAAAGATCAAGTTTCTGGTGTCATTACCAGGACTTGCATTATTGTGATAATTGTCGGGGCGGTTCAAGTTTCTGACACCAATGTCAGGAAGCGACGGTAAGAAAAACTTTACGAGAGTTTTAGTTGAACTTGTAAGACTTAGATTTGGACATTATAATGTTATTAACTCGTGTGTCTAGTTATTGTGTGTCAATTTAAAAGAAAATCCAAAATACAAAAATATTTTTGAGTGCTTGAAGTGCTTGCTATATATCCTATTAGTTAAGTCTTTAGAGTTGAATGCGAAGTTCAGGAGTTGCAGATCTTGAACCATACGACTTAAAACTAGAGAGAACTTTTAGGAGGATTAGGAAACAGAAAAGACTCCAAAAATTTGTTGTAGAAAAGGCGGATCAATAAGTTAATGAAGATTCAATCTTTGATCATAATGCTAATAGATCTTTGAGGGATTATGCGAATCCTAAGGTGGATGAAATTCACTTAAGCATACAAACCCTCACCGTAAAGGCTAATACTTTTGAACTTAAGCCTGTAATAATTCAAATGGTGCAAAATAATCAATTTAGAGGATCTCCATCTGAAGACCCTCACTTATATTTAGTGAGTTTCTTATAACTCTGTGATACATTCAGGTGTGACAGAGTTTCTAATGATGTTGTTAGACTTAGAATTTATCCATTTTCATTGAGGGATAAAACTAAGATGTGGTTTAATTCATTAGCATCGGGTTCAATTAGGACATGAAGGAATTTAGCCCAGAAATTTCTAGCCAAGTAATTTCCACCATCTAAAACCGTTAAGTTGCGGAATGATATCACTTCATTCTGACAACATGAGGCTTGGGAACCATTTAAGGAACTTCTTGGAAAGTGTTCACATCAAGCATTACCTGATTGAGTTATTATTCAAACCTTCTATAACAGATTATTTGGATCATTAAGAGTAATTATTGGCGCTGATGCTGGAGGTTCACTCATGTCGAAATCATTCGAAGAGGCTTATTCTCTTATTGAAGAGATGGCCACAAACAACTTTCAATGGTCATCTGATAGAGTAAATCCAAAGAAAATAGCGAATAATCATGAAACTGGTGTACTTATAATCTTAACTTCTCGAGTAGCAGCTATTGCAAGAAAGTTAGAGCAATAAAAAATGAGCCAATCTCAAAGACCCACAGTCATTGAGGAGAACTCATTTGGTCAATTGGTTGACAATAACTCCTTTGAAACTATCCATGCAATAATCCAATCACCCAAATAACCCTTATCCCAATTATTACAACTCAGATTGAAAGAATCCCAACTTCAACTGGAACAACAATTCTGAAGGAGGAAACCAATCCTGAGGAAATAATAAGTTAATCATATAAGTAATTGGAATAATCAAGGTACTTCTAACTTTAGACCTTATCCTCCTAGATTTAACTCTAACCCGCAGTTCGAGGAGAAGTTATTGTTAGAAGAAGTTATTCTTCAAATGGGAAGTGTGTTGCATAACTAAAAGACTGCAATTAGGAATATAGAAAACCAGTTGAGACAGATTGCTTTTACATTTAGCAGTCGTCCTAAAGGGATTCTTCCTAGCAGCATCGAGGTGAACCCTCAAAAAAGGGAAGTGAGCAAGTAAAACATGAGTAACACTTGACGTTAAACCAAGTGATTCGTGGGAGGCATCCCATTATTATCTGTCAGTGTGTTGTGTTTGTGTCTGTTTGTGAGTTTTGTGATAAGTTTATATTCATTGTGAAGTGATATAATTGGTATTTATTGTGGATGTTTAAGTGTGAGAGTAGATTGTTTTGATATTAACGTATCATAAGAGAGGTGAATCCTTAACTTCTCGTCATGATAGACTTGTATATGCTCTTTTGTAGTTGTTGGATTGACGAGCTCACTAAGACTAAGTTCTCAATTGGACTTGACTATTACTAGACGCATGTTGACTTCGGACATTGGACAAGTTCATCTAAATTCTGTTACATCCTTTATCTGACCTGTTTTCATTGAGTAGGGTCATGAACCTACTTGATGAGTAACATGATGATGAACTTACACTATCTATGTTCAGCTAGAAGAGCATACATTAGGGGATGAGGTAATGCCTGAGATTGGCAACACGTGAGTCACTATAACACGGATAATCTTATCTATAGATTAATCCTACCAAATTAGTGGAAGGCATCCAGTATATCAATATAGTGATTCCGTTAGAAATTGGAAGTCAAGTAGGAGGATGAATTGACCTCATTTTTCTATGATTTTTGTGTATGTGTTACAAGAGTGATATAGGATGGAGGAGAATTCAAACGAGAAAGAGAACTCTAATGATGATGAAGAGTATGAGTGATTTGATAGATTTTATGTTTTCTTTATGCATAGTTTTCATTGCTACTGTTATTGCTGTGATGTTGTATTTTTTTTTTATTTGGATGTCTTAGATATATTTTTTTTTCATGTGACTATTATAATATTTATGGACAAATGTATTTGTTATTTTTTTTATATTTCTATGTTGATACCCGCACTGTTATTTAAACTTTCTTCAATTTAGTTTTCATTCTAACATGTGTAGTTTAGATTTACTTTCTATTGTATATTGTTCTTTCATGATGAACACTTGCAAATGTTTTTGATAGACATATAAGACATTGTATTTCTGAGCTGTAATTTGTCTTCCTGCTTATATTTTTATATTGAATGTTATACATGTTAAAAAGCTAAGTTTGGTGTGTGTGAAAATCTTTAAAAAAACTAGACTTTATTTGTTCTCAATAGCTTACATATAAAATTGATATCACTTTAAAATCACTTGTGGTATGTGGTGTTACCTTTAGGATACTATAATTTTGATTTTGGGGATGTTACAGAAGACAGTTGAAATTTTTGTGAAAAAGACTCTACTAAAGTTATGGTATTTAATATGAGATAATAGAAATATGATTTAATTATTTATAGTTGGAAAGAATGGAACTTTTGAAAAACTAGGATTCTTAAATTTACACTTTAAAGAAATTTAGACTCTATTAAAACTTATTTTCAAACTCATACTTACAACTTTCAAATGGGAGAAAGTGATAACTTTTTTAACTATAGAAAGAAGAATAGTGAAATTCAAAACTATTTAATGTCTTTTCAGATATAATAATCCTTGCATAAAAGTGTTAAGGATTAAAAAGATTCTGAAATAAAAAGAAAAAGAAGAAAGAAAAAAAATATATAAAAAGAGAGGAGAAACTTGAGGAGAAGCTTAGTCAAAAATTAGTTTCACATGAATCTTCTTAAAGAAAAAAACTTAGATATAATCCTAAACTTGTTTTTATTCTAAGAAAAATTAGCAAAATTTTTACAAATAGAGCGCTTAAATTCTGATTTTATACTTTTTAGAAATTCAAAATTTGACAAATTACAATTATTTTTGAAGTAGATAGAAAATTAAGATTTCTAAGTTAAACACAAAATATGTTTATACCCTAGTCCTCGCTCGATTCAATAGAATTTCTCCTAAGTTGCACTGACATCTCTGAGGCAAATTGTAGAAAATTTTGAAGAAATCCGCTACCTCAAATCAACAAATTTGATTTT